CTGCCCCCTCCCATCCGACAACCAATATGTAGCTCTGTAAACACCACACAATGCATTTTAGACAGGGGATGTGTAATTTTGAGGGGTTTTTCTCAAGGGAAAAAACCCCCTGAATAAATAGCTGAGTATAATCAAGGTGTCCTAATAGCTAAAGTAATAGTCTAACTTTTACACATAGAGTCTTTGTCTGAGGAAAAATTACACATTTAAAAACTGAATAAAAGGCTATTTCTTATATATTAAGGAAATATGTAATTTGTTGGATCTACTCAGTATGATTTTTAAAAGTAAAACTAACACTTCGACTGTAATGTTTGAAACAATAAATTGAATGAACAAAATAAAAGGTGCATATTAGTAACATATAATTCACATCATGCACAGAAAAGTCCATGCCAAAGTGTGCTAAGGAAGAGAACAAACGAGGCAGGCCGTGTAAGAGACAGAAAACGAAAGTGTGAGCGTCGGAGGGCTTGGACAGCGGCCCCCCGCGCCCCTCAGCTCTGGGGGGATGGACGGCCAGTGGGCGGCAGCCTGCGTGGCCACGGAGAAGGGCCCCAGGCCCTCGGAAACACATTTCTCAAAGCCCCAAGGAAACCTAAGCAGCCTCTGTAATTTTTTTCCAGTTTATGAAAATTGGATTCCTATAAAAGAAAAATGGACCATTTTTACTGCAACAAAAACTGATTTGTAAAAGCTGGAAGCAGTTTAAAAATACTCAACATGAGGTTCTTGTTAGTCTTGAAAAGTAAGAGTTATAATAAAAAACGGTCCAAAAATATGGTGCGGATACATGGCAAAAAAAAGAAGTCAGGGGGAGAAGAAAGCTAGTCTTACTCCTATTATTTTTAATTAGCTTCAATAGCAAGTTCCACTTCACTTTTAACACCAGCTTGGGCGTGGGGAGGGGAAGATTTACATCTGACCCCCTGGGGGATTGGCAACTCCAGGACTGTGGCCTCAGAGCCCTGAGCATCCGCGTCACCTCCAACGCGTCGCCTCCAACACATCACCTCCAACACGTGGGGAGGTTCTGGCGCAGCCGACAGTGACATGGGTCTAAGCCCAGGAGTCGCTGTCCAGCGGCCGCGTCCACTTTGCCGCACACCTAGGCTCCTTTGCAGAGTAGGACAGGTAAGTTCCCACTTTGCAACAATTCCACTCAAACCGCCTTGCTATATCTCAGAAATGTAGGCATTCGGATTGGGAAGGACCCCTGCTGACTTGAATTTTAAGAAAAAGACTAATTTGAACTACTTAAACAATTCTCTAAATCCAGCTCAGTTCCCGCATTTTACAGGTATGTCCAGTTACTAGATTTTGCCATTTTAGGAAGAAAGTGAAGGATTTTACTTTGAACAATTAAAAAAACAACCTCTCATAATAACTAGAATTTATTCTTTATCTTGCAGGAACTCGGGACTATCTTCCCTGAGCCCAGTGACACTGACGTGTTAAAAACCCACAGCGACGGAAAGGACACGCATGCTGGCCGCAGGACACGCCACGGGCGCTGCCATGCTGTTTCACGTTAGACACAACGATGACAGTTCGTAATTCACATTTCGTACGTTCATTTCTTATTATTCTTTTTTCAGATAGCTTGACCATGCTTCCTTACCAAAGATACGTGATAATAAACAGGGAAAGAATTGGTAACTCAGCTGGGCAATTTCCCTGTTTAAAAAAATACTCAGAATAGATAGCAACCAGCTTTTTCAATATTCAAAATTCAACCAAGACTGATTTTTCATAGCTAACCCAAATTTTTCATGTTGTCCATTAGACTTACTTATTCTTATCTCCAGAGTGAAGATGAAGAATAAGACAAGTTCAACACCACTCTTTATATTTCTCGAAAAATATTTCTACTTTGCTTAAAATCAGTTAAAATAAAAAATTTCAATAGTAGTATTTTAAATCAACATTATTTGATCTAATAGGCTTTAAATTTACCTATTGGATGTCAAAAGCTGAAAGGCAGCCATTAGTTTAAGATTTCACATCTGGGACATTTTGTGGCAAAATTTTCATGCCAAAATATGTGAATAATTATGTAGCAATTTAAAATACTTAAATCTTAGCAGAGTTAAAAAATAATCCAGATAAGATCTATGGTTTGTTACTATCAAAGAAGAGCATAGAAATCCTATTAAAAGAGAATCCTAACCAATCAAAAATGATTGAATAAAAGCAAGAGTAAATGATTCCAGAGTGGAAAATGCAGAAAGAAGAACGGAGTTTGGGCCACACTTTAGACTTTCTCTGTATCTGTGTTGATTCAACAGAGAGTCCCTACTTATTTGATCTATTGCCTACAGAAGAAAAAAAAAACCCTAAGGAAATTCATTGTAAATTACTTCTTCTGGAAATAAAAAAAGAAAACGATACAGTCACATGATTTAAAGGCTGAAAAATTACAAAAGACAAGAGATGAAAGACTCAACTTTCTCAGGGGAAGTTTTTTTTAAAGGGCAAACAATTCTCAAATAAAAATGGTTACAATAAATAAGTATATCACTTTTTTATTTGAAGAGTCTATAGTAAGTTTTATTAACTAATCCTTTAAGCTAACATTACTGTGATGTGCTTTTTATGATATAAAAGATGTTACTTATTTTTACCTTTGTAAATGAACTGAGAGTACAAAGGTAAGAGAATTTTCCTAGTCATTTTTAAAGAGTTATTAACAAAGAGGGAAGCAAAAAACAATGAGACATTGAAATAAGGAACAAGCTGACAGTTACCAGAGAGGAGGGGGGAGAGGAATACCAGGGGACGGGCCATCGAGGCACACGTGTAAAGGACACACGGCGAAGCCAGAGGGGGCAGGTTCGAGGGTGGGAGGCAGGGATGAGGGTGGGGGTGTGTGAAAATGGAGACGACTGTACTTGAACAACAATAAAAAAATAATAAAAATAAGTAAATAATAAAAATGAAAATAAGCTAAGAAATAAAATAAAGCGTTATTAACAGAGTTAAGAAATAAAACCCTGAAATCTTTAGACAAAAGGCACAGCTTCGTCACTGAGCACAGGCCGCTCTCAGAACATGTTTGCTATTTCATAAAATGACCATTTCTGAAAGCCAGAAATGAGAAATTCTGCTGAAGTGAGCTTGCAAATTCAGTTTTGTATATTCAATTTTAATAAAAATGTTCAGATTCTTAAAAAATTGCATAACTATATAAAAATGAGGGTAAGTCTTTCTTAAGCAAGGACTGCATAGTTAGTATCAAGAGGCTTTCTTTGGACCAGCAGCGTCTGGTGGAGGCACACACATGCTTTGCTCCCAGTGAAACATAAATGGCAGAACAATTAACTTGTAAATGCCATCAGCAAAAATCTTCCATATAAATATGAGGCTTATAAACCCAAATCAGTTTTCCTTTTCCAATTATGTTTTAGAAAACACGCAGGGTACTGTCCCACGATGGAGCACAGAAGTTACACTGATTAAACAGTCTCCATTTAAATGACTGTAGCTAATACAGACAGAATCAGCAGAAGTGACCAAAGCCACATGCTTTCTGGTATGTAACCATGTTTAACTTTTATTTCCTACAGCAAGGAGTTTCTTACCATGACAATCCAGTACACCAGTAAAACTTTCTAAAGTGCTATTATAGATTTAAAGTCCACAACAGAACACTGAGCTACATATACGGTATCACATTTCATGCAGTAACTACATTTTCCACTGTGCTTTTAAACACTGAGTCCCGATACCAATGAGTTGTGAGACCAAGACAGTGGACTGCAACTGCATGTCGAAAATAACAGAGTAAACAGGAGGTGTTGCTGTGCGTTACAGGGAGTACGAGGCACTGCTGTTCTAAGAAATTTGGTTTACATATAGGTAGCACATACGTACATAAACAAGTGGGTACGTGGGCACTGGCTGGCGACAGGAAAAGTATTTCCTAATAAGGGACAAAGAAATGCTTAGAAGCCACTTCAGCAGGCTACCTTTCCTTCCCAACTAGGCATCACGCTTGAGGGAACGAGCTCTGGGGATCCACAGACCTGAGTTCACTGTCTTCTGTAACATCCTCCTAGTGTGAGTGGGGCACTTAAATGACTAGAGGCTTCGCTTCTCCATCTGTGAAATGGCTAGGACAATACCTGCCTTGAAACGTGGCCGTGCAGTTAAAACAAACACGACGAGCACTTGTAAAATAGGTTACATACAACAGAGGATCAGTAATGGTTGTAACAATCGCTGTGGGATCAAAATGGCTTATTACAAGTGATGCATACGAGTTATAAAATATTAATCACAATTGTATTCTTCTGTGTAAAAAATTCATAAGCACACCCTCCAAACAAAAACCAGTTTATGTGAATAAAAAGTTCCACTTTGGAAGAGGAAATTAAGTAAATATTTTTAAGTAATCTTAATGGCAAATAAGACTAAAGCTATTCATGAGAATAATTTAATGTGAAATTTCAACAGTCAGTTTGAATTCAAATATTCCACCTCCAGGAATAATATGGAGAAGAAAATACTTGTTTACACATTCTGGTAAAATATTATAAATCAATTATAGAACAATGCTGACATGTCAGACTTCTTTTCCTTAAGTATTTTATTTGCATGTCATCTAGGGAGAAAAAGTTTTTAATCAAAGCACTGACTTGTCAAAACACTGTCTAAGTAATTGTTAAAATGCATGTATTGTGTCCTGATTTTATACTATATTTGATTGGCTTTGGAAAACAATCTGAGCTTATTAATTTGGCAAAAGTACTGTGTCTTTCAACAGAAGCCTGTGTTTTCCAAAGTGATGAAGCATATATGTTTTTCAGATCTGTGATTCCAATCTTTGCATAGAAAACATGACTTCATAAATTAAAATTGAACAAGCGTGTCCTTGAAAATATTGAGCACTTTTCCTCTTTAATGAAATAAGATAGAAAAATGGGGAATGAAGAGAATTCTAGCTTTTCAAAAACAAGGGAAACATCGTGTATTAGACTTTTTTGGGAAGGAGTGTTTACCTGCCAGGAAATGAGTGCTGCCCGACCATATCTCCATTTTGAAGGTGATAATCACTGAAGAACTCCGGGCTTATGGCTCCTTCGGAGGTGATCAGTCCGTCTAGGAAGAAGGAGGGGGTCACCGGTGAGACGTATTTGCAGGGAACAACAAGGAAACATCTATCACAGAACACAGCATGAAACAACCTGCATATTTAACCTGGAGAGAACACGTTAGCATGACACGCTCCTCTCTGGGGAGTATGAACCGAAGACCACGGGTCTGCGGTTGTTCTTTAACAAGACTCCAGCGCAAGTGCATGGTCACTGAGCCCCCACTGCACGGCAGTGCTGCACGGGTACAGAGGGGAGTCAGACCACCGCTGCCTTCAGGGCTCGCAGCCTGGTGGAGAAGACAGAGGGGACGGGCGAGGCAGGGAGCGACGGACAGGGAGCAAGGTCCAGGCTAAGGAAGCAGAGTGAGTGCAGACAGGCTGACATGAAATGGCAGGCTGTCGGAAAAGTGCAAACTTCCGCGTGCCCACATCTCACACCCACACAGCTTCGTCTGTGCAACACAATTGGGGAATTAGAGATTTCAAGTAAGTGAGATTCTAAAGGAGCAATGCTTGACAGACCTTAAAACACACACACAAACTTGGGTCAGAAATCTCTGTAAATACGTTTCACAAGCCCTGTATTTTTAAAAGCGTGCGGGACACATCCAAACGCTTCTTGACGACTCTGTCTTCATCACACGTGTCAGTTACTACACAGCCCTAGCTCATCAGATGCACTTGACCACCCACACTGACAGCTCTGCACTGCTGTGCTCTTTGAGTTTCTGTTTGCCGAGGATACAGTGCTTCTTTTCCCAAGTCCAAGTTTTATATCACTTCTCACTGATTTTCAAACAACACCATTTTCTCATTGCTGCAGACTGAGAATCCAGACAGCCTACGATCAGCACGATTATGAACAAGTGAAGAATAATCTGAGGAGAAGGGCCTAACCGAGGACTTCGAGGCTGTCCTCTGCACTGACCAAGTGTAGCATAAGATACGGCTTCTGTAGTCGCTATCTGGAAAGTTCTGAGACCTCTCAAAGTTTCCTATTCTAAAAGCAAACTGGCCCTGGCTGTGCGGCTCCATTGCTCAGAGCGTCGTCCTGATGCACCGAGGTTGCGGGTTTGATCTCTGGTCAGGGCACATACAGGAGTCAACCAATGATGCACACATAAGTGAAACAACAAAAATCAAGGTTCCTCTCTCCTTCCCTCTCTAAAAGTCAATAAAAAACTAAGAGAAATAAATAAAAAGAACGTATTCTGGGGTGTTGGGTGACCTCTAGGCGCACACTGGCCAGGGCACACCCACCACCCCATAACAGCTCTGGGCGTGGTCAGTTGGCTGCCCAGTCACTGGATGGCCGCCCCGCACCGCCACACGCAGGGCAGCGCTCCCCTGGGTCCCGCGGGGGATGCAGGAGCTGCGACACCGGGTCTCTGTGTTCAAGAATCTTACGTTAAGTGCAATGTGAAACAAACATTTAAGATGTAACTAAATAACACATTTCATTAATAAATGACACACAACCAGAATGGATGTACAAGGCCTGTCCAGAAGGTGTCCAGCCATGTAATATGAAAAATAGAGACATTTACTGAAGAAGATACAAGATACATTGTACATAGGACAGTGACACCTCAGTCCCCTTTAAAGTAGGCACCTTGGGACCTCACACAGTTTTCCCAGTTGCTATCAGCTGCCCCACTGTACTTTCCTGAATCTCACCAACTATCTGAAATCTCCTCCCTTTCAAAGGTGATTTTACTTTTGGGGAAAAGCCAGAAGTCACAGGGCACCAAATCTGGGCTGTAGAAGGGCCGAGTCACCTGGGTGATCTGATGTTTTGCCAAAACCCTCTGTGCGAGATGTGATGCCTAAGCCGGCGTGTTTTGGTGATGAAGCTGCCAATCACCAGTTGCCCATCGCTGCAGCCTTCTGAATCATCCGAATAGTTCCCGCTGAACGAATGTTCAAGTTTAACACCAAATCTGATGCAGCTTTGTTGCTCTACTGCTCAGCCATTTAGAATGTGATGGCCACACAGTACACACGCTCACTCAATGTCTGCTGCCCCCACTGACTAGTACAGTGAAGTCGTCCTTGTTCACGCATGCGCATTCCAGTCCACTCTCCTTGGCTGCCAGGTTACACTGATGTCTTGCAAACTATTCTTGTTACATTAACAATGGCTGGACTTTTTTCCAGACAGACCTCGTGTGCACCAAATGAGCACAGAAGACGGAGGAGCTGGAGTGGGAACACCATGTGTACAGGACTTAGGAAACCCTCCCGGGGGGGGGGGGAGGCAGGGAGGCGGCGGTGTAACTGACGGGGTCCTGAGAGGCCGGTCAGCGTTGGAGGCACCAGCTGTTTCAGGAGAAAGCATACTAAAAACCGAGGGAACAGAAAAAACAACAGAGTTGGAAAATGAGGAAGTGAGGTTCCTTGTATTTCCATAAGACTCTTGCACTAGTTATTTGGTACATGTACCCATAAAGACATTATTTAATTGTTGAGTTGTTAATGAATAACTTGGGCATCTGTCTTATTACTTTAGTAAATTTAAAATACTTAGGAGGTAGCTTAAAAGTGTCTAATATTTAGACCAGTTTCTATGTTTTCTAAAAATTAAAGATTCCATAAGTAGAAGATCAGCTAAACAAAACAAAGTTACAAAAGAATGAAACTGTGGAAAATGCCAAGATATCATAGAGAATTGAGTGTCTAAAAAATTAACTTTATATGGATCTAACACTTTGTGAAACTGTGGTTAAAATTAATTAGTTTTAAGACCACAAAAGTCAATAAGGTCCTCTGTTAAATTAAAACCAAATAATTGAGGATCGGGGTTTAAGAAATCCAACAATTTTAGAGGGACAAAGCTAAATAAAGTGCCAAAATATGATGCATACCACACTGTGAAAATGAATACAAAGATATTCAGCATGACAGTAGAATGTTAGATTTGGCACTCAGAAAAACTTCAGATATAAATACAACTAAATAAAAATATACCTGAAGTATGTTTCTAAGCTTGTTACATGGAACATGACCCGGTGAAGTGAGCCAGACCAGACAGAAATTAAATTCAAAGGAGTCTGTCAGATTCTCAACACCCTCCTTTGCTTCGGAGCGCCCACCGTCTTCAAAGGCAAAGCGAGGGCAAGAGGCAGCAGGACACGGCGCGGCCTGCGGACTGGGAGCTCCTCGGGCAGATCAGACTAAGTGGGTGTGAGTTTACAGATTCGGCCAGGAGTTTCATACGCCCAGAAGACCCCTCGTTTAACGATATAATAAGCCTGCTATTATGTGAGTAAAAAAGAGAGAACGTACACGTCTGAACTTATTTTTTAACACCCCAGGACACTGCAGTTCACTCTGCACAGCCCAGCTCCCACCGAGCCCTCAACAGCTTGGCAAAATTTAGGCAACTCGAACAGATGAGCAATCTTTCTTCGCTAGACTTTATTTATAATTCCATAAAGTTAAGTTATACTTTAAATTAATCCTCCACTCAAGCACCTCAACTTCTTTAGAACTATCCATTTCTCAGCATTCTGCACCCCAAAGTAATTGTTCATAGGAATACTAAAGACGGATCATACACTCTTGATTACAAACTCCAGATAAACCTAGGAGTGCCCCTCTCAGGCCCCCACTCTAACCTCGTTGCTTCACAGACAGTAAAGAGTTCACATCCCACTGAAACAGCCAGGAACAAACAGAAGCCATGCGATACCCACCAGAGGCCTCTGTAAGCTGCAGGGCGTCACACGCACCGCGGTTGTTAAATTACAGGGAGCCTTCACACGGTGGCCGTCGCCAACACACCTTCCTGAGGTGTTCCAAGCAGTGACAGCAAACACGCCTCCGAACCAAAGGAGGACGTATCGGGGGAGGGTGAAATGCAAGCATATTCGCTGTCCGCAGAGCTAATGTATCAGCCTTCTGACTCCTGCAAGTCCGCTCAGAGACTCGCTTATACACATTGTGAGCGAAAGTAAAAATTACATTTTTGTAATTTGTAAAATTATAAAAATTACAATTTTTCTTAAAAAAATTTACAGAAAGTAAAAAGACAACAACATTATCTTTTTATATATCGTTCTGAGATAAAGTTATTTTTTTAAAAGCAAATGGACACGGGCCATGGGGCTCTTTGGTGCTGAAGCCAACAGTCACTGTTGTGACCGTTGTGGCTGTGGGAGAGAAATGGACGTCAGCCACGGAGACAATGAGAGAGAGGAGGCTAAAACAGACACATCACAACTCCTCTGGCTGTCTCCGATAGAACACACCACAGAAACACACGCAGGAATGAAAACCATAGTTTCCTGAGACAGAAAAAAGCCATTCCGAGCTTCATATTCAGAAGTATATTTCCATGTCACACGCTAAGAATAAGATCCAGCCCACAGATGAAGGGCGATGCCCAAGTGAGACATCACTCAGAAACCCGCAACAGCATTACAGCTTTAGCGCCAACCGCAATCTGCTTCTCCCTGTGGCGAGTGTGCTAACACAACAGTGTGCTTTTCACGGCAAAAAAGATTAATCTGTGATTACAATGGTCATAATCTTAGACTCTAAGGAAAAAATACTGTGACTAAAGGAAATGCTAGATTCCTATTCCAAATGACAACACTAAGATCCTTTAAAAAATAAATAAAAGCAGGAGAGAAACACATTTTAACAAATACAGTTGGAAAACATAGAAGGCAATCCTAATGACCAGGAAGCAGCAGATGATACTTGTTGCACTTGAGGGAAAGATAAGATCTGGGGAATCAGGGGCCACTTAGCTTAACCTCTGGCTAAAAAGCTCCTAAACCTGCTTTCATCGGAAGCTGCCTAAAGTTACACGGAGATCGGGCAACTTAGGTAACTGGCAGTATTACAAGTGTCTCTGAAGTTTCTGAAGACACGACTGCACACAGTGAAGACGAGGCGGGTGTTACCTGGATTTCTGGGACACACACCGAGAGGTGCCACGGAGATTCACTTGGCACAGCAGCTGTATTCGTGGACAACAAACTAGGGAAGAGAATTAACTGAATGACAAAATAGTTGGCTTGGTGTGAGAAGTGTACCTTTAAACGCACAGCGGGGTGGTCCCCACTGTCGAATGGCCTCATCATCGGGCCGCAGGTACTAAAAACGACCATGAATCTCTGTAGTGACAATATTTCACTCTTCAAATGCTTGTGTTTATTTTTCTAATGGCATTGGCTGTTCTGCAATTTTGATATATAAAAATATGTTTAATTTAGACTTCTCACAAAAGTCTAAGTTGTACACTTTAATGATAAAATATCTTACAGAAAAATATTATTTTCATTTAAGAGGTTAAATTAAACAAATTTATTTTGGAAATGTGCTTTAACTGTTTAAAAATCTGTTCTAAAATTCTAATTGTATTAAAACAACAAGGTGGAAAACTGTGATGGTTAAAAGCTTGATTCAGTTTTGAAAACTGTAACTGATTCACACTGAAAAAGTAGCTATCAATCTTCAAAGCAAGAAACCTGATTCCAAGAAATTCTGATTTCTATTAACAAGAAATTCATATCATATACATTTTACACCATCTTACTTCATGAATATCTGCATACGTGGGGAACAGCTGCTTGCCATTACTGAGCTGAGAAATTCTGGTTGGTTGCAATTAATGATCTACACCATCTGGTTTGAAACACAAAGCAGTATTTCATAACTACTGTAAAGTTCAGTTAGGAAGAAATCTATTTAATTTCTAAAATAAAGTATCAATTTTCCGGGATTCAAATATCAAACATAAAATACAATGCAGTGTGTATGGACAATTTGCACAACACACAACTTTGAAAACACACGAAGCAGCACACAGCAGGAAGAAGGGAACCATAATTTGGACATAATCACTTTCATGCTCCTTATTTCCAACCTGCTGCAGATATTAACTCGAAATCCTTTCCTTCCACTCCTAAATGAAATGACTTCCATGAAGTAATGTTAATACTGGCAACTGTAAAACACATTAAAAGCAAAAATATGCAAAATCTCTGTGCCAAACTCATCCTGGGAAAATGGCAGTATGGCAGAATCAACAAGGTCATAATATGCGTGGGATTTACGTGGAAATTAAATTTTACCTTGAAAGCACTAGCAGAGTTTAGAAGGAAAAACTATTGCTGCACAGTGTGGGCATCACCCTCACCAAAGAGAGTTAGTTACCAACAGTTTACCACTTTGAAACCAGAGTAACACCACGGCCATGTTAGACTGTTCAAATGAAATGCAGGGAAAACAAAACAGAAATTAGCGAGTGGAAATGAATTAAGAAAAGTAAACATTACATTTTTAAACAGAAATCTGAAATCCTGAAGATGTCATCTTAATTTATATATTCTAGAATGTAATACACTAAGAACAATTAATTTTCCTGGCCACCACCTTTTTTATGGAGATTACATCAAAGACTCACTTGGAAAAAAGTAACAGTGAGTTAACAGGCTCACTTGGCGTGTACCGACGTTACGTCCGAAGTCATTAGCAGGAGACATTCATATACTACAAGTGCTAACACGGCCTGGGGAGGAAGGGGCCAGGCTGGCAGGTCACAACCCCGGCGCCCGGCAGGCAGACCGCTGGCCATCCGCTCACCTGAGTTGTAGAAAAGGTCGGGTCTTTCGAGAATGTCTCCCTCGTGGATGTATGGCTCGATGCGGTCATCACCGTACACGTACTGCTCACTCTCATCCATTTGGCGGCTCTCCACCATCTCCAGCCACTGGGAGTTATGCCAGCGGAACTTCTCACTCTGAATTTTCTTGGCCCATTCTTCATCGTACTCCTATTGAAAACAAAGCGTCAACTATCACTAGGTGCGCTCAGGAACGAATGCTCTTGGCTCTCGGATAACCGTATTTTTATCTCGTGAGAATCTGGGGGGCCGTCACTTGGTTCAGAGGAAACATTAAAATTACTTGTTCAGAATGATTTTATACAGTAATCAATGACAATCAACTAAATACATATATTAAAGACATCTCTATTGGCTTACCAATTGCTAAAGGCAAAATCTGGAAAACTTTAAATTTCACAAATTCTTTCTTGCTGGAGTTGAGATTAGCAATCGGCCTTCACCTTCCACAGGGTTTGGTGGCTGTAATTATTCACGGCACTGATGGCAGGTGGCTAAGCATTAAGATGACATCTTTTGCTCTTTTTGTTCACATAACACTTTTCAGTAGGGGGAAAAAGCACTAACAAAGTACTTCTCCTAACTACTGAAAGTTACTATAGAAACCAAAATAATGACGTCTGTCTTCTTTTTTCATAATTACGTCTTTATATGTCTGCCTTAGGATTCAAATCTCCTAAGAAGCAAGACTGTGGCTTGTTCGCTGCTGCATCGGTGGTACCTGTTCACAGAGAGCATCCTTGGTGAATGGCTTTGAAGGACAAAAGGCGAGTGATGATACCATACGGTTGAACCTGTCCAGCTTCCTACTTTTCCCACAGGCTATGGCTACTTCTGACTGATGTACACACTCACTGATTAACAGACTGCGCCACAGATGAAAAAAAGGCTCTGGGCACTTCTTATCCTAACCCTGGGACCCTTAGTTTTAAAGTCCTCTGTCCTGGCTTTGCCACCTTCGTGCACAGTGATCTGGGCAGGAGGCGGAAGGGTGCAGCTGACGGCAGTGTCCTCCAACAGTCGGCTCGATCATGGTAATTAAGAGACGAACCAAATCTACATTTTGGTCAAATAGCTGAGCAACTTTTACCCAAACTGAGGTTCAACTGATATCAGTGGAGGTAGGAGATATTTTGGGGCTATGGTACTGCTAATGGCAATTTTGCCATTGAATTATTAAGTTTTCCTTCTTTCTAATAGTTATTCGTTAATGTTCCTGTGAGTTGTCAATATCTTAACATAATTATTTAAAATTAAATTATATAAAAGTAAAGCTATAATAAACATTAATTACTGCATTTCACTTTAAAAATAATAAACATTCATTAATTCAACTGTTATAATTTCAATATTTAAAGTACTGGCAGAGACTTTTTAGTCTAAGTTACATTTTCAATGCTAACTTATATTTGAAATTGACAATTTATAAATAAACAGCAAATCCTAATCCAAATGCCATGTCATGCTGGAAAAGTTAGTGATTAGATATGACAATTTAAACAATCATTCAATCACTGATTATACACAAACTGCTCTAATAAAATGAAAAAAATACAGATAAAGCACTCAGAAGACCTACAAACCTGTACTGCAAACACTCAGTGTTAGCTATCGCTGTCAGTCGACTGACGTAACGGCTCTCCAAATTAGGTGCTGTGATTATTGCCAAATGAGAAGATGAAGCCCAGAACACAGAAGTGACCTTGAGCAGCAACGTGGAGAAGGCGCTTAAACGGAGAATGAACGAACACTTAGCAACGTCACTGTGGAGAGGGTTCTCCAGTGAATGTGTGTAACAAATGACCTCTGAGGTCAACTTGCAGCTCTAAGACTCTAGGAAGGGGTCCAGCTGCTGACCAAGCAACAATATGGGAGGAAGTAGCTTCCGGCCTTGGAAGCGTATCACACATTGAATTCTCAACCATGTTCTTGCTGACCCAGCCACGCATGGGAAGGTGCTGGGGAAAAGGGAGTAAAAAATTAACAGCACAGAGATGTTGTCACAAAAAGCCTCACTGGCCACAGAGTCTAGTGGATCGCGTTGGGTCTCCCAAATTAAATAAAATACCGAGTGGTGCTAACTGTGCAACGTGGGCAGAGCGATCAGCTTCACAATAACTCAGTCTAAACGCTAAGTGGTCACTGAACCTCTCTGAAGTATCTGACTTCGGAAGCACAGCACACTTCTGGTTCCGCGTGTGCGCACTGCACATGCTCCAAGTCAGCTGCAAACACATTGCTGGCGTGCAGGAGGTGGCCGATGGTTTAAGAACGATCACACACATTTACAAAAGAAGAAGAAGAGGAACTTACTGTATCCACGGTGGTAAAGAATTTAGTGCATAAACAAAAAGAAAAGTGATTTTTTAGACAAGTAATCCTCCATACTAACTGGCTTTTTTTTCCAAGAGATAAGTTAGTTATAAGTCACCAAAACTCCCAGAATATGCCTTGTAATACCAGAAATACTATTAAATGTATACTAACTACTAGAACTACTTTAAGTGGTACTATTTCTATTATGAATGCTAGCTTAATTCATTTGGCAAGAGGTATAAAACTAACTTTTCATTTTGATAGAAAATTTTAAATATGATTATCTGAATGAAGAAGTATTCAAGGAAGATGACAGAAAAACATATGATCTGATTCTTTTATTACAATTTAAGTTAAAGCAGATTATTTCCTGTGTAAGAACAAGAGTTAAAACCCAATTGAGTGCCCAAAGCATATAAAATATAGGGTTTGCCTCTTCACTAATAACTGTGAAATGTCTCAGAGGTAGGTATAATTGAAAAAGTAAATCCTTAAACCACACAGCCATAAAATGTATTTAGCCTAGTAAGTGATGCTCTGCACGAAGAAAAACACTTATGTTTATTCTAGGAGCTGTATCACCTTACACCCTTCTCATAGGTTTTTCCTATTCTACTTGAACATTGCTCTCCCTCTTTCTCCCTCCGTTCTCCTCTCTGAAAATCAACAAATTAAAAAATAGATTTAATAAATGTAGAAATGTGTAACAAGGATGCTGTTTTCTTCTTCACCAATAGCCTTTCTAATTAAGCCCCCTTACCACCCTTGAACTTACAGCCACGTTCTTGTTAACAAACCTAAACGTGCATGCCTGCGTTTTTAAAGAGAGAGGACCCACACGCCGTTTGAGGGAATCCAAACACAGGAACCGACTGAAGCCATGAGTATCCATGGCTGACTCTGGACACCAAAGCCTGCCTTAGTGTCCGGGGCACAGACCTCGGACCAAGTGTGCTAAGACCAGCCTCCCGCCAATCTGAATTCCTCTCCAGTTTCTTCTTCTCTCTTGCATCAGTTTATGACCGAATAAACCCACAGAACCAAGGCACCTCTTGACAGTATAAGGCCAAGAAGTTATAGTAGCAATGCTTATAGATTGTACCGTCATTTTCCTTATTACAAATAATTTTAAATATTGCAGTACTACAAAACCATAGGCCTGATTCTCTGTGACTTGTGATGGTTCACATGTGTGTTACCGTTTACAGGGAAGCACAATGAAAACACTATGGTTGTCACCAGCTTTTCAGAAAAAAGTGAGACGAACAGAAAACGCAGCTCCCCTTCAGGAAGCATGACCCAGGACGTGTTATTCTGTACCAAGCTGCATAGTTGTGCAGGGGCGTCCAACCAACGGCCTGCGGGCCACACGCAGCCCAGACGGCTGTGAATATGGCCCAGCACAAAATCACAAATTCACTTAACACATCATGAGATTTTGCGATTCCATGTCATAGTGTATTTAACGTGTGGCCCGAGACAACTCTTCTTCCAGTGTGGCCCAGAGACGCCGAAAGGCTGGTCACCCCTGGTGACAGTACAGAAAGTTATGTTTTGCAAAGCAGCCAACAATGATTAGAGATCCATCCTACAACAAAGCCACTACAACGACAAGTGGAGCTTCCTGAAACGGGGCCTTGAGATTTCACAGGTACGTGTGGCTTTGCTCATAGATCACAGCGAACAGCGAACTGACCAAGCCGTATCAAGGCCTGCAAGTCTCCAGCAGTAAGAACACAACTTTTTAAAAATACTTGGAGTTTTATGTTATAAAACTACTGAAAGTTGAATACTATGGAAAAAAAATACCCATAGAGAGAACCACAGTAAAAAAAGAACCTGTTTGCAATGACTTCAATTCCAGTATTAATAGATACATTTGGGAAATACTTAAAAATATATGTATTTTAAATTTAGAGGATAAATATCAAACATTATTAAGATATTACACTTGGGCCAGAAAGGTCTGCTCTAGTTTGTGATAACATGGTCTCAGGTATTTGAATGTTTAGCAAACACAGCATCCTGGAATGAAGCACGTTTTTTTATGAGGAACATAAAATATATTTAAATCATTCATTTCTCCTTTTCCTTAGCATAAACACTGGTTAAAGTTTTGATCTTTGTTCCTGAAACACTGATTTTTGTGTTCCACATTTCTTGAAAATCAGATGTTTTAGCTGATGGCCACCGAACGTCCACTCAGCATCATTGTTTCTAGACCTAGACCGGGGCTGCAGGTTCGAGGGTTTTAGGCTTCGAGAGAGGCCTCAAAGCAAATGTCGGGGCACCGACAGTACATGGGAAGCACCTGCCACCTACTAGGATCATTTTTAGAAAAGAAAGGTCACTTTAACACTAAAAATGTAAGCCAGATAATCTGAAAATAGGTAAAATCAATACATACTTTCCCAAGACAAAACATGTTAAGAACCTTACATCTGCAATTCCTCCCCAGCCCTGGTCTCTCTGCGTGCATGCGTGTCTGTCTTGCTCTCTCTCTCTCACACACACACACACACACACACACACACGTGTTTTGTTTATCTCTCTTCCACCCCAGTGAAACGCAGTAGACGAGACTTTACCCCACCCCATGGCCAGCACTCTGGGCTCCGGGGCCTCAGCAACCTGCATCGTTCCCCTCCAGTGAGCAGTTTCACGGCCCCGGCAATGCCACGGCCTCTTTCTGCCTCTGAGTCTGAACCTCCGGAAGTGATAATACATACGGCATGGCGTCATGCCAGGAACACTGGGTTAGGAGCTAGGAGACCTGGGTTCTGGTTCTAGCTCTGATACGAAGAGAATATGCGACCTTTTAAAGGTATGTTGGT